AATCACAGTTTACAGGCGACATCGGAAATGAGCCTTCTAATTTGCCAATTTGACCAAAAACAATTTTCCTTTTCTTGCGCTTTCGCTGGATATAATACCTGGATATTGGGAAGAAAAGGCATACAGTCGGCCATTAGTGGGAGAAGTTAATCGCCAGAAAATGCTGCTCAGTGATGCCACAAAAAATGGCTTGAGAATGGCATCTATTTCCATGGCTGCGATTTATGTATTGTTTTGGACAGTGATGCAAACTATGTTTTACCACGGCGAATGATCCAACCCTCTAGAGCAGGGGGCCGCAACTACTTTTCAGCGCTACCCAAAAATTCTTTTTCTAATTTCTTGCAACCCAAGAATTTGGTTAGCATAACATTAGTTATCAATTTTAATACTATTATTGACCCTATCAATTTTCTTGCATAAAATTATGTGAAACTTAGCACATAAAATGAATATTATCGTTTATTATAACTAATGCGAATTATAAGCTTTGTGTTTCGAGCACAACATGTCAATTTGAGGTTTAATTTGGGAGACGGTAACTCAAAGATCTTCTAGCCTTGTTCTGTATGTATGAAAACATCCTTTCACATAAGTAGGTAGTTCCGAATGGCAACAGAACATTCATTGCATCAGTTAATAACTCCGGATATTCCTTTGCAACTGAAATCCAAAATTCAGCCACGACAGACTGTCTGAATGGCATAAGTATCTGAGCGCTTCTAAAATGTTTATTATTACGTCAAAATTTGCACTTACACTGATTGGCCAATGTCACTGCAGTAAATAAGGAAGTGTATACTCGGGGAAACATCCATAATTATAATCGGAGAATCATATAGTTGTTATACCTAAATACGCTACACAGACGCGATGCTCATAATTATGGCAAATTTAAATTGTTTTGTGACCCAGAGCGGAATGCTTCGCAACCCAAATTTGCGTCGCGAGCCCGTAGTTGCAGACCCCTGTCTCGTTTGCTTTAAGATTCAAGTGTAATTTCAACACAATACATTTAGATACTCATTTTTGTACCTAATTTCTTGGTTTGCGGCCCGCGTGGCCAATAAATTTTAAAAAGTGGCCCGCGACATGTTTTGAATTGGAGACCCCTGCTATTTTGGTCACCAACGCGAGCGAGGTTCCCGTACTGTGTACCTCACCTTTAGTTTATTCACATCAAACTCCAGATCAATTGATGTTGTAAAATCGAGTAGTAGTGTTTTTGGTTTTAATGTTGCGATTGAAAATGATTGATAAATTTCTAGAAGCTGACTTCTTTCTGCTTGAATACATGCATACTGATTTATATACAAGTACTAGTCCATTTTCTTAAATATGTTTTCTAATTTTAGTGGCTGGCTCGTCTCTGCTTTTAATAATAGTTACCATAATGTATCCAAAATTATATTTTCATATGAATATTAATCGATGGTTTATTTGTCAAAAATTCTATTTGAGAAGCTGAATTCAAATTGAAAAGTTTCCCCTATTCCTCTATAATTTTATTCAAATTTGTGAAACCGCATCTATGTTTTAAAATTAGCTATCAATTATTGGTCTGTGCATTTGTCATTTTTCTCTACCAGGTCTGTGTGATTCTTCATTTTTGAGTCAAAATTCCTGTTCAGTTTTTTTTTTGTATTTCTTATGCTAAGAACACAAAGTAGAAGTTGTTTTGTTGGCTAATTTTTATTCTAGTGTAGTAATGAGATTATTGTTGTTCTGCAGTTCAGTCTTACAATGGATATGGGTCCTTGATCGAATAAACCTTCCCACAAGAATGGTCAGAATACTGGATTCACTGGGGCTGAAGAGGTCCATGTCAATATTTCCAATAATCATCTATTACCCTTTTGCATGCTTGGGACCAGAATTCGTGTCCACAGAAATTAGGAAGAGAACAAATGTTTCGAATGCTGATATGAGACCGCCTCTCTCGCGCCCTTCAAAGCAATTGGGAAGATCACGCCTCGAAGCTTAGTTTTGGCACCAGAAAGCACCTTCTCCACCTAGACGCTTTATTCCCCATTTTAGCAATCCCCCAGCTAGGTACTCAATCACCTTTTTGTCGCCTTTGGGTATTGACGTTTGCATGAATGGCTCAGTTACTTGAAACGCTCCTTTTATAATTTTCGGTGCTGCAGTTTTGATTATGCGTTTTAGGTCCAAATGAGAGATTTCAGAATTGTTCGAATATGGCTTTTGCAATTTTTTAATGTATTTAGCTGTCATTTTACTTCTGGATTCTTCCCTAGAAATTTCCATCATATCCGCTATAACATCTGCCCATAGTGGTGATTCCTGATTTAATGTGATGTTCAAACCATTCAATGCAGTCTGCAGTGTCTTCTTGCAATCAACACTTCCGTAGTAGATTTCTACTACAGATATGTCCCATTTTCCTTCTATCTCGTCATCAAGCTGTGAAATATATAAAATCTGGTCTAAAACAGTGGCTAAGTGCTTGAATAAATCAAAACAGATGTGATGTAAAAATACTGACCAAATTTTTAGCAAAACAAAAACGGGCCATTCCAAGCAAAAGTTAAATTCCATCAATTTTTTAAAAAGTGTAGTGAAAGTAATTTTTTTGTATTTTTGATATCAAAGGCTTTGGAATTTTATTGGACTGCATTCATTTCATCGAACAATTTAAAATTTCACCCAGGTTTTTGATGGTTTATAAAAAATGGCCTGAAATGTAGAAATTTTGGTATAATTGACATATTTTGTGATGATTCCTGACACAAAGTGTTTGATTGTGTGGTACAGTTATTTCATATGGAATTGACACACTGGATTTAAGTTAGTAAAGTTTAAATGTTTGCAGTGCTGTAGGACATTTCTTCACCCATTTAACGATTTATTACCAGAATTTTAAGAGATGATAGATGCCGCTATTCCGAAGTGGAAAAATGTCCTGTAGTGTCTCGTCCTGTAGTGTCACATACAATATGCACATTATTGGCATGGATTTACAGTGTTACATTAAGTAACTTGAGCAACACATAGAGGGGTAGTTCAGCTACTGCACCAGAAATTATTATGGGCTCCTACTGTACCATCACAAAAATTTACAGCACAACACAATGTACTGTTAGTGCATGGTGGATTTGCCGTCCTGTAGTGTCACGCTATATTTTACTATATTTTTTTTATCTACTAAGCAAGGTTGGGTGTAACTTTTGTGCAATTTTTTACATATTCAATAAAGCAACTGATTGGACAATGAAACAAAACATGTAGCTAAAAATGTAAAAATATATTGAATTTAACAACATGCAAAATTTCTGGAATTGTCCTGTAGTGTCACTTGGAATAGCCCAAACGGTCTCTACTTTCATATATTAAACTACGGTACTATAAACTCTTACTATTCATTCTTTCAGGATTAAAACCTATTTCAAGAAGCAATCAGTACTATATAACTCACGTCATCAAAAAATTCAAGCATTTCTTTCTCAGATAAATCCAATTTCATTCGAACTCCGAATACCGTTAACAGCGAGAAGCCTAAAATATACAGCAGGCGACGCCGTGGTTATGAATTACCCACGCCAACACTAGATGACGCTGTGAACAACAGGTCAGCAAAGTCCTTATATACCTTATATGCAGGTCAGTATACGGCCTTCCAGACTAGTTATATAATGCTGTAATGGCTCTGAAACAACATTGAATTGAGTTCTTATATAACAAGGAAGAACCGTTCCACGAACGAATAGCAGGTAGGCCCTACTGGTAAGATACCGCACCGCATATGATTATCGGGGAATCGATATTTTCTTCTTATTTTGCCTGGTACCGTAATGAAGAAGTGACTCGGATCACTTGGTATTTCAATTCACGTTGAAATTGGATGGAGAAGAATAGATCATTACCACAGGACATGGAAGAGCTATGACAGTCCCTGTACCGGTATTTGTACCCCGGTACTAGTAAGTCAGTTACCATAGCCATGTAGCTGTTTTACTGTTCAGATTCGTGCAGGATACCGTCTCGAAGGCGTAGGGTACCCTATGGTTTTTGGTGAAGTGATCACAATATATTTCGTTTTATTCTAAGTGTCCATATATTTGAGCTTTCTCGTTGTCAAATTAATCCGATTACCATTATACGATCGCTAGTTGGCGTCTTGGCGACTCTCTCTCTTTTCCCGTACGTGAGTAAAACCCAATTTATAATGTCGGATTTCTGTAACTTGCTTTGTTGCGACCGTGTGAGGTTGTCGTTCGCAGGCCAGTCTGACCCTGTTGGCACTTACGAATTGTTCGCTTTACGTCCAGTTCATCTCGCTGCAGTGGATACGCGGGTTAAACTTTTTGTATTGAATTTTCATTTTACAGAGATAAATGGATGACGGAAATAGGCTATGGCATGTTAGGGACTTAATAACTGAATAATGTTAGTGTTACTGGTGTTATTGTGTAAATGCAGAAGGCAAAAAGGGAACAATGGTTAATGAATTTTGAAAATGGTGAATGCGGTGGTGTGGCTCATCGTGCTAAGCGTTAGGAACACACTCGCCACTGCACCTCTGATTACTCCGCTTGGGTTTGTTTGCAGGTTTGAATCCCATGTCAGCATGTGGGGATAGTTATGTGCGAGAGGATTGCTGGACTCCTCGCCACCGTGGGGTGGTCCACTAACCGCTGGTCGGTTACGGCTTCCTCCACCACCAAGTCCATGCTTCTGAAAACAAACCGGCTTTTCTCTCCCTCAAGATAAATATGGCAGCCAACGCACATTTAGACATTGGGCTCGATTTAATGTATTATCAAAAAAAGCATGCCTCAATTCAGAGACAAATAGAGTGTTTGTTTTATTTATCTTCGAATCTGAGAACTGTGCCACACTGCAATAACACAAGTATATTATTTCATACTGCACAATGTTCAACTATACATTGTGCTCATTTGCAGAAAATAAATAATTCTCTAAGCAAAAAAGATTGTTACAGTGATACATTGCTACATACATTAAAATTATATCTATGTTACATAAGCACCTTATTCAATTTCTTTTCATTCAGTTACAACCCACATTTTTTTTACTCAATCAAAATTGTGTGCAGATGAGCACTATGTCAGCTGCATTCCAAGATAATAGTATTCAGCGTATGGCTGTGAGTGAATTCAATTCGCAAGCTATGAATTTGAAGGAAGAAATACGTGCAATTTTCCTGCAGCACAAGAAGTCATTGGCATCAAGAGAACTTTGGCTTCTAGATCAAGTGGACAACCTAAAAGAAACTACTATGGCACTGATGATGAAAAAACAAATATCAATGGCTGAAGTTAAAGGCAGAATGGGGGAATGCACAAATTTTATGAGTTTTTCCAAGGAACATGATTATTCAGAGGGAGTAGACCGAGCATATGATGTGATGGCACAATTGCAAAAGAAGGTACAAGAGTATGCACATTCTAATGACACTCGATTTCCCTCGATCAAATTTATGCACAACGATATCCAACTACGGAATTCAATCTTATCGTATGGTAGACTACAAACTAAGTCTTGTAGTGACGCAGATGAGACTGATTCATTTTTGACAGAAAAGTCATGGGATCTAGTTGATGAAAGATTAGATACTGAAGAAGATGACAACGAAGAGGCGGCTGTCAAAGGCAGATGTTGCGGCACAATGGCAACATGCTGTCAATCCTCATATGAGATTGAAGATATGGATTTTTCAACTATACTTAACTCTGATACTATCTGTCAAGAACAGGTGCCAGTAGGGTCTGATTTTGACAGATCTGATCTTTTAAAAAAATTTTGCAAGGCTAATGAAATTTGTTGTTCAATCAGCGAATGCGTTTGCGATACTCCCTGCATTAAAATATCACAGATGAACGCAAGTATGGATCCTGTTGGTGAACTACATGGCAAGCTTGAAGCTGTATATGCAGAAGGCCAGGGCGGATTTCAAGACTATAACAACAAGGGTGGGAGTACCAAGCCTGAAACAGAGGACAGACTTGGTGATGATCCTTTGATTCAGATAACTAATGCGATGGATAGTATTCTTGGCTCCACGTGTGATAAATCATCAAAGTCAAAAAAAACAACTTCTTTAGTGGAGGAAACAGATATTATTGGCGATCTCAATTCTAAATTACAAAGAATAATAGATGGGAATGAGGATGGCAAATTGTCTGTTATTGGAACAAATTTCTGCGAATATACAGAGGCTGTCTCAGCAGACAACAAAAGTTCTTATTTTAACGCATCGTTGGATGGATCTGAGAAAAAGGATTCAGGATCTGCAGACGAAGTATTCAAACTGCATAAAAAATTAGCACATATATATCAGGGTGATGTTTTAGTTGGGCCAATTTTTAAGTCACACGAAGGAGTCTTTTTGGGCACGGATCCAGTAAATCTGTTGTCAAACCAGCTTCAACGTTTGCTTACCTGCTGATCTATTGTTGAAATTTGCTGCCGAATTCTATTTGGGCCCATACTCAGATTGCCTTTCGGAATTTATAATTTGATAAAAAAAAGTTTTTGATAATAAAATCTTGAAAGAAGGATTTCGATAAACATTGATATTTTGAAACTGTATATGTAAAGCAAAAAGTTGTTACCCTACTGGAATTTCTCTATCGGATTTCCTTAAGAAGATCTTTTTTATTAATTTCAGATATATTGAGTATATTAATTTTTCCATTTCATTATCTTTCTTAGAGTATGTTTTTTTGTGCCTCCTTGTTGAATAACTAACTAGTGATATAAGCAGTATTTTTTAGTTGGATTACTTTTCTAGTACTGTGTAAAACAATTTATTTTCTTCCGCATTTGTTTGTGATAACTATCGTTATCATATCAACAATATAAATTATACTGACAATATCAATCTTGAATATGTAAAAATGCTTATAAGCATTATCATTAATTCATATCAATATATCATAATGTATTTTCTGTGATAATATGGAATGGGCTTGTGTCATCTGACAATATTAATGCTACAGCAATACTTAATCATTTACCGAGATGATTACACTCAGGGATGCTTGAGTGTGTTTTCGGTTATTTTATATTCCATTGTTGTGGTGCAAAATGATTATGATGTACAATTTTGTGCTCTATACTTTGATTCAAATTATTACATCTTATAAATAATCTGCACCAATTTTATAAAACTAGTACACACTCAGGACTGTCAATTATTTTTTGTTCTTAACAAAAGTAACATAGTTATTAATGAGCTTATCGAAAGTACCCCCAAGCGTCGCTTGCCAACAGGTCAAACAGTCTTGCTATTCTTTCACCACCTATTTGTATGTGACAGAGTAAGGTTTTGGAATCAGCTGTTTCTTGGTTCATTCATTTTCTGTGCTTGTAAATATTTATGTATGTAATAAATGAATCGTATCTTTGGGAGACGTGGATGTGTTTTGAACTCGATGAATATGGACGTTCGTGTTTTTTCAAACCTAGGTCGTTACGAATATCGCCAGATTCATGGGCGAGGTAAACGGTGGAAACAATTTAAAGCGATATTCTGGAGTATTTAAATGTGCCTTGTGAACAGTATATAAATCTGTCACCATTTGGTCCCAAACGATAGAATATGCGGCCTAGCATTCGTGTATTGTCTGGGAGTCAAATATGCTTATATTTGTTTAATTATTCCACAAAATCTTGAATGAATAAAATAATTTTTGGGTCTTTGCGGCGTAGCCCGCTTTTTCACACGGACTAGATTTGTGATTATGGTGTCATAATTGTTTTCTAGTACTTGCTCCTTGTTTTTACCTGTCTGCAATTCCTGTTATTCATTCTTGTGTTTTGTAATGACTCGTACTAAGCTTTGTTTCACGGACGCATTGATTTCACGGATACCGTAGATCAGTTTATAACCAATTAAAAAGTAAAATTGTGAGAGAAAGCAAAAGATTTAAGATATTTTTTTTATCTAATATCTGTGAAAGGTGGACTCCTGAGAGCAGACGAACCTAGAAAACCAGGGTTAATATATAAAAACGGGAACAAATGCATCTAATCTCAAAAGGAAAAACATCTGAAACACAAATTACAACTTCAGTAAAAAAAATCAGGAAGAAATACGATACCATTGAAGAATATCTGAGTCATCAACTTCGAAGCGTAAATTGCACAAAAATTCAACCCCGTTATAAATATAAGCCAAGAATAACGATCCAATCAAAGATAAGAAACCGAAACCAATTTTTCGCATAGATGACTCTAAGCCCCGATACACGCGTCTTACAACAAAGAATGTGATTGTGTTAGTGTATTTTCGACGTAAAAAAAGAATGCACGATAATTCATAATATGTTCATTTAAAACATGATAAATCGTAGTTTGCAACTTCTTTTTTCCTCAAAATAACCAAGGCGAAAAGAGCCGCATGAAACCGGAGATAGAGCCGCATGCGGCTCGCCACCGCGGATTGGCCACTCCTGGACTAGGGTTACCATAGCCAATAGGGTTGTTAACATAAGAATTGAGAAAAGATCATATCGCTGCCCTAGAACAAGAGTGACTTATGTTCATTTTGACATTCTGAGAAAATGGCCTTCATTTAAAATTTTTTTCGGGGGTTAATTTTCTATAACAATTTTATTTTTGCATAGCTGTATAAAATTTTTAGTCCAATTTAATTGTTGCATTCTCCTGCATTTTTTAGATTTTATTTTTTTGCATTCTCTTGTTTATTTTTTTTACACTGTTTTGGACATAAGTCTCTTTTGCACTAAATAATTTGTTTTTATCCTTGCCGCTGGTGTGACTTAAGGCAACATCATCATATTCATCAATTGCTTAAAACCTAGCAAACATTATTCTATGAAGCCATTTATGATATAAATGATAACAACGTGCATACAAGTAGCCGAGACGAACTGTATAAAATATTTTGAGCTCTCTAATTCGACAAGGTATCTCTTTTCTTTTGTCATCATTGGTAAAAAGCGGTTACATTTGATGTCCCATGCTCACAACTCTAAAGTTTTTTGTCCTAATAGTGATTAGTTCTCTATTAAATTAATGAAATTTACTGTGTTGAAAGAAGCTGATTAACTAGATGAAAAAATCTGAATGAATTTCCACAGCACTTTATCTTTCCTGCATATCTCCCAACAATTTTTAAATTTCAATCATGCATTGTGGTGGCGAAATCCCACTATTTAAATACGGGTAACTATAAAAATAGAATAGGATTCTGGATTCGATTTAAGTATTCTAAAACAGTGGTTCCCAACCGCGGACCGTCAACGGTCCGCAGAGGATTTTTACCGGATCGCGGGAAATCCCGTCATATTGTTATTTCTCTGCCGTCTCAATCGCTTTACCGATGCCGAAAAGACGTAGTTGCGTTGGTTCATTAGGCAATTTCTCTTCCGTCGTCATATTACTGATTTTTACCGGATCGCGGGAAATCCCGTCATATTGTTGTTTCTCTGCCGTCTCAATCACTTTACCGATGCCGAAAAGATGAAGTTGCGTTGGTTCATCACGCAATTTCTTTCCCGCGTCATATTGCTGTTTGATAAGCGCGATATTAATTATCACGGTGACGTATTGGCAAGAGAGAGAAAAGTGAGAAAAACGGCTGCAAATACCGAAGCTCTAACTTCTTTTACAATAATTACGACTTTACGTAATTCGTAACTTCCCTTCCGTAACTCGAAATAATTCCGTAAATCTGTAAATTACGTGCAAGCCTAATGCTGGCCTTTTGGGATCAGGAATCCATTCACTGTCACCGTCAACTGAGATATCCTCATCTACATCATCTTCACTGCTTTCTGGCTCATCTCCTTCATTCAATCTAACTAACTCGTTTACATTATTTTCTGTTTGCTCATCTTCTATCTGAACATTCTCAGCAACCATCTGCATCTCATTGTCTGGGTGCAAATCCTGTTGTCCTGCTTCCAAAAGCAAATAACCTGATTCAAAAAGTGTTGTATCTCCATCTGCCCACTCAACAATCCACTTCTCCCCTGTCGTCCTGTCACTTTACCATGTACTCTTGCATCTCGCCAATTCTCATCATATGTTTTGTATGACCATCTTTCAACAACACTCTCGTGTTCATTATCAAATCGCCACGCTTCTGTTGAAACGTAGCAACCGGTTTTAATTCTTGGCATAATTCAGATTCAGGTACAGTAAGCAAAAGATTTAAATTCTAAATATCTGAGAAATAAACAAAACATATCGAATTCTAATACAGAACTGTAGACCTTGTTTGACCATAACTAAATTAGATCTACAGCATAAGTTTCAGACAATAGGCACATTTCGAGCTAATTTTTGAGTAGCATTGGGTTTCAGCAAATAGCTGTTCACTCCTGAAAAGTAGCAACAGACATTTGTATGTTGATGAAATATAAAACAGAAATAAATTACATATGGTGTCAACTTAATGATCAAAGCACAAACAGAAATATTTAATATCACATATTGGTTGAAAAAAGCTTAAATTTGACAGATATAAGTAGACTATGAAAGGTTTTACTGGGTATGTGCAGTCATGCATGAAGGAAAGGCTTATGTCCAGTATATTTGAGATTTGTCTTGGGTAGTTTAGAGCTTATGTCCACTTTTGTAGACATAAGCTACTTTTGCATAAAAAACAACCAGCGAACCAAGACTTATGTCCTATTTTTGAGACATAAGTCGCTGTTGTTCGAAAAAGTTGTACAGAGCAAATGAGACTTGAATCCCATCATGAGACACAAGTCAGTCTTGCACTACAGCATAGGGACATAATTTAAAGCTATCTTCTAATCTAAATTCTAAACTATACAGTTTCAAGGGTCAAGCTTATGTGCATCTGAAAGAGCATAGTTTAAAACCTCAAAAAATTGAAAAAAGTGAAATCTCAAAAAGTAGACATAAGTCAGTCTTGTTCTACAGCAGCGAATGATGGACAATAAACATAAGAAGAATGAAGAAGATACACCTATTGACACCGAAGATCTAACAGTTCAGGATGCAGAACTACTTTTCGAAATTATAGGGCTATCCACAGAGAAAATCCCACCAAAATGTGCCTTGCAGGAACCCGGCAAACAGTGAGTTGCAGAAAGCGAAGAACAACAGTGTTGATATCTCACTTCCACAGCCGACATCTCAAGGTATGGGCATTCATAATGATCATAGTAAAAAATCAGATCTTGACGCAGTCAAGTCCTAGATGGAGAAGCGCGCAGAGGGGAGGGTGGTTTTCAATTTTTCAAATTTTTTTTTCCAATACCCACTTCCGCTTGAGACAGAGTCGTCATTAATGAGGACTATAGAAGTCATGATCCCCCGAGAACACTTCTCACACTCCGTGGCGTTCCAAGTTAGTGACGACCGGTTGGAAGGAAAGCACTGATATTTACCAAATGAAACATTTTAATGCAAAAGAATGTGAAAAAATGCACCAGGGATTAAATAACATCACCAATGCACATTTTACGCTTGTCACAGCTAGTGGTAATTTACCCATCGGTTGCGAATATCACTGCTCTAAATTATACCAAAACAAAATTTGTCATATATATACATATTATTTCATTTTTTGTGCATCTTTTTTCATATCACTGATGAATCATACAACAGGAGAATGATTTTATCCGCATCTGACTGCATTTAGTGGTCTACGAATTAGGCCCACCTGAGGCGGCAACGTTTTTGAGACTTTATTCCAGTTTTTGAATTTTTAAAGTTGCAAAAGGAATGAGAATTTCATATTTATCCTAGGGAAAGAAGAGCCTATAAGACGGCTTCATCACATGCGTAACGATAGCCCCTCGTCCAGGTTATGGGAATAGTTATCAGCTATTTGTTTGGGAGGCATGGTCTTGGGGGTGGAAGAAGATGTAACTGACCAACGGCTAAGTGCTAACCCTGCGACCGAGAAGAATTCAGTAATCCTGTCGCACGTAATTTTCATTCCAATGGGATGCGAACCCACGCGGGGTAATCAGAAGTGCCATGACGAGCGTATTTCTAACGCTTTTCACAATGCGCTATTCGCCGAGCGAGACTCCGAACTGTGTTTCGTCAAGCCATTTTAGAAGCGTGTAGAGAGAGAGAGAGTTTATTTCATTTTGTCAAACCAAGAAAACAATATATACATACATACATAACATTAACAAATAAACAAATGTTTTCGGTACATGACTGGGAGGCAACGACACGACCTTTGCAGGTCATCAGAGTTGCCACTCAATTCAATGAGCATATAAAATAAATAACAGGTTCAGTGTCAATCTATTAATACCTCTCATGTTTGCTTACTAAATACAATATTTAGGCTACATGTTTTATTATCAAAGTGAAAACTATGGTATGCGGTTCTTTCAACTAACCGAAATTCGCCGTGCATATTGAATTTGAATTTCCAAAATATAAACTGCTCAGTGGAGCCCAGGTACTCTAATAAGATACGATTTATTTGGGTAACTTGTAAACTTATGAGTGAAGGTAAGTTAATACACAACATGCAGAAATTTGAACAAGGGTGGAGTTCCATTATAACATACACATACTAGTGTTATATAAACAGAAGCACGGGTTGGATCATCGAAACAATACAGATTTTTGTTGTATGCAAAATGCATTTATTTGGACAAGGTCATTCATGCAAATATTTTGGCATATTGTTGACTTAGTATAAATAAAGTAATATTAAAGTCAATATAATAATAAACTATAAATCAAGTGAATGAAAGACACACAGTTGGCAAAAAAGTTGACTTGATATAGGATGCAATATTTTATAACCCTACGTAAAATGATTTCGGACACTTTGAATATAAACATTAAATAGAAGTGTGATTACACAGAACTTATACAATTCATTAATCCAGGCCATTCATGCAAATTAGATTGAACAGGGAGCTCAATGAAGAAGTATTGTGATTTGATTAACAAATTTAATAAAATAAATGTAACATTTTATAACACGATTTGGGACAATTTGATAGCGAACATTTAATAGTCATAATCGAATTGTAAGAATATATGAACTCATTTTACAGAGAAAGTATCATGAATGCAATGCAAGCTTGGCATATTAGCCCTATGAAAAAAAAAATGAAAAATTTTACAACATGATTTGGCACACGTTAAATATGAACATTTTATAATAGTAATCAAATATAAAAATAGAGAGTTAAAGTTGCTTAGGAGATATCATGAATGTGATATAAGATGAAATTTTGGTTCAGAGCAGCAAAGTACAACACACGATATGTAACATTGGTGAATATAGCGAAGGATTGGAAACATAGAAAACAGTAACCTTTTACATAAAAAAAACAGTATTCTCCAAAATATAATGAGAAAACAATAACAATTCACTGGAAATGCACAAGTCAAGCATGTTGGAATTGCAAGTGTATATGGATTCAAGGATACAGACACAGTATATATTTTTATTCACACCTGACTAGGCTAAATCCAAATATATAAATTTATACAGCAACAATTGTTTTATATGATGGTCATCGCTTGAATCAAACTAAGCGAAATTTTGGACCAACAAATAATCCATTTTTATATAAACGAGTTTCTTTTTAGATTGCAAAAGCAAATACCAAACATAGATATAGGCTTGGCATTTAGAAAATGAAGAATGTAACATTTTATTACGTGATAAGGTAGCCCGAAAAATGTGAATACTATTCGAAGAATCTCGGCCTCATCAATTACAGACGTGCAAGTGTGATTTTCCCGATAATTGTTTTTATACGATTCCGTGCGCAGAATTTACCAAGATAGTTTTGAGGTTTGTGTGTCTGTGAGTTCATGTGATTTCTCGTGTAATATGGAGTTTTCAAAATAAACTTACTATTTTTTAGTTTAATATATGTTTTTATGTGTGTAATATGGGTAAACTGACACATGTGTTTCTGCGTGTTGTAAACCACATCACGGGTTTTGCCAGTTTTTTCGATTTTCAATCTTTTGCGTATTCATTGTTTTGTGTATTTTTTTTTCAAAAAGGTTAAAATAAACTTATACCCAAAATTCTGACTCCGAGAATTCAAAATTTCGACTCTGACAAGTTTGCAAATACGACTCCTACAAAAACATGCCAAAGTTTGACTCCACAACTCGCAAGTCTATCATCAGTGCATTGGTGACTACATTGACTGACTTTATTAGTTGCGTTTGATGTAATTTTTAAACACACAAGCGAATTGCAACTTACTACAGTCAGGTAGTACCGGTACTACAATATAGGCTACCAGTAAGATTTATTTCGGCATTCTGATAACGCACCACTTCATCCAACAATAAGCTAAACGGTTTGGCAGAAACGCATAAAAACGAGAGGTAGGATTTACATAGGATAGGATAGGATTTTACATATTTATCCCGGGGGAGAGGAAAGCCGATAAGGCGGCTTATCCATATGGCGAACCACGGCCTCTCGTCCGGTTACCATTCCAAGTCGGGTATGGGATTAGTTTTACTGTATTGTTTGTTTTCGGAAGCATGGACTTGGTGGTGGAGGAAGCCGTAACCGACCAGCGGTTACGTGAACCACCCAACGACGGCGAGGAGTCCAGCAATCCTCTCGCACATAACCATCCCTGCATGGGATTCGAACCTGCGAACCCACGCAGAGTAATTAGAGGTGCGGTGGCGAGCGTATTCCTAACGCTTAGCCCGTTGAGCCACACCGCCGCGCAATAAGTACCGGTACCGTATATATATCGCGGAGGAGAGGGAAGACGGCTTGATCACATGGCGAACCACGGCCTCCTGCCCGTGGTGCGCGATGCGCCACATCTCCGAGTACAAGAGTACGGTTACAAATGGTACAGGAATACAAAAAAATGGTTCTCTGTCTTCAGGCCAAGGTACCGGAAATAGTAACAGTAACTGGCTGACTGGACAAGACTAACCATTACGGTATTACTGTATCAACTCGTTAAGCTACTGCTTCTTTCATTTCTATAGTCTACTTTACCCTAAACATAATATAACAGTGATACACTGGTAAAATGCCTAGAATAACAATTAAAGGAGGTGTGTGGCGGAACACAGAAGATGAAATTCTGAAAGCTGCTGTAATGAAATATGGTCTGAATCAATGGTCTCGTATTGCTTCTCTACTTCACAGAAAGTCTGCGAAGCAGTGCAAAGCTAGATGGTAAGAATAAAAGAACCATCGTCTTACTCTTGCTGCTATTGTGAACTGCTCTGACACTGATATCAACCATATTTTTCTTATTAAAATTGCACGGCGAAACATTGCAGAACAAGTTTGGCTACAGTTACTGCAAAAAGTTTTTTTTTCAAATTTTACGTGAAATTTAAAATATTTTGACATTCTCAGCGCAATGATGGCCTTTCATTTAGGACAACCCAGTGGCATATGTAGGGTATAAAACTCATGTTTTTACTGAAATGATAAGTACAAGTATCTCAATTCAAAATCAGCCATTGAAAATTGTCAGCTAGCGATGAAGGGGGCTTTTTTTAACTTTGCCATGGGTGCCATTTTATATGGATACGTAACTGCAGAACAGGGACAGCTTCACACAAAAAATGCAAATCATCTGGTGAAAAAGACTTTAGACATAATATGATTTTTTGTAGGTATGAATGGCTAGATCCGAGCATCAAAAAAACAGAATGGTCAAGAGAGGAAGAAGAGAAGCTTCTTCATTTGGCCAAGTTGATGCCGACACAGTGGCGTACAATTGCTCCAATAGTAGGGAGAACAGCAGCACAATGCCTTGAACATTACGAATATTTACTTGATAAAGCTGCTCAGAAAGAGGATGAAGATGACGATGCTCAGGTTTGCCATGTTTTATAATTAAATGTTTATTAGTTCAAATGTAATTGGTTATGTATTTTGTATTGAAATTTAAAAATTTTTAAATGGATGAATTTCTTTTTCATGAGAGCTTTTCTTCTAAACGTTGACAGTATATAACAAGTTACTACTGGATTTTGTTTTCTCTTGTGAACCAACTTGTCATGTTTAGTTTTTTACACACTATGTTAGATGGTTATTCCAGACTCAATGCTGTATTGACTAGTAATCGAATACCGATATGCAGAATGCAAGGCCATTCGAAGCTTGAAAATATTATACTCTAATGAATTGTATAAATACCATTACTAGTTCTATACTAACTTTAAATTCAAAATTGTGTTATATTTTGGGTGTGTTAGAAGATTGGGTTAGATGAAATGGGTGATATTGGAAAAAGATGTTTATGTTCTGTGCATCATTTTCTAAAACACAATGTTATACGCACAAAACTGTGCAACCTTTCTGGAATTTTATGCATGTTTTCAATGCTACAAACAGCTGTCTAATTAACATTTTCGAATGCAAAGGACCCATCACAAAGCCAAAAATGAATGCAGTTGTAATTATAGATGGGGGGTCGGCAAACTAAGATAATTCCATTTTGTCATGCATATAACTGTAATGTGTAGCTTTTATGAAATACGTTCATATTACAGGATGATCCAAGAAAGCTTAAACCTGGAGAGATTGATCCAGCACCAGAAACTAAACCTGCCAGGCCTGATCCAATTGATATGGATGAAGATGAATTAGAGATGTTGAGTGAAGCAAGAGCAAGACTTGCGAATACTCAAGGTCATTAGATATTATTATTATAATTATGCGAATTTCAATATACAGTATTGGCTAAATGTTTGAAATATTACAGGTAAAAAAGCAAAGCGAAAAGCAAGAGAGAAGCAGCTGGAAGAAGCCAGAAGATTGGCTTCACTTCAAAAACGTAGAGAACTTCGTGCAGCTGGTATTGGAGTTCGTAAAAGGAGGCGAAAGAAACGTGGTGTTGATTATAATGAGGAAATTCCTTTTCGTAAGCTTCCTGCAGCAGGGTTTCATGATACTTCTAATGAGACCTTCAATCCAGATGATCCAGATTTCAAACGTTTGAGACAGGAACATCTTGATGATGTCAGCAGACAAAAGAAGGAATCTCAAGAAAGAAGAAAAGACAAACAAAAAGTCAAGGATAAAGAGCTGCCTTCTCTAATAGCTAAGCCGACAGAACCAGTTAAGAAACGGTCCAAACTTGTGCTTCCTGCTCCACAGATCTCTGATGCAGAATTAGAAGAAGTTGTAAAGCTTGGTCAAGCTTCTGAAGCTGCTAAACAAGTTGTAGAAGAAGGAAATGCTGCTTCTGATGCTCTACTTGCAGATTACAGTGTTACTCCAAACGTGTCTGCAATGAGGACTCCACGCACACCAATGATGCAAGTTGATACTGTTATGAAAGAAGCCCAAAATATAATGGCGCTGTCCAATGTTGACACTCCTTTGAAAGGTGGACTGAACACAGAAGTGACCGATAGTGATTTTTCCGGGATCACTCCGCAACAGAAATACATTCAAACACCAAATACAGTTATTTCTACACCCTTTCAAACTCCTGCTGATAAAAATCCAGCAGCGACACCAGGTATGCTGACTCCGGCTTCTAGCATTCGAAATACACCTGGTATGACACCAGTCAGGGATAAACTTAACATAAATGTAGAAGGTTCAGATGGGGGAGCCACTCCATTTGATGGAATAGATGAAAAACAGCATTTGAAAGCCTCCCTCATAAAGTTACCTGCGCCTAGAAATGATTTTGAAATTGTTCTTCCTGAAGATATGAATGGTGAAGGGGAAGAGGAGCATCATGATAATATTCCATCTGATTTTATTGAAGATGCTGCCGAAATAGAGGCAGAAAAACAAGCAAAAATAGAAGCAGCTAGAGCGGCTGAACTTGAGAAAAGGCACACTATTATAAAAAGAGAGCTGCCAAGACCTTCCGTAATAAATGAAACTATTCTTCGACCAATGAATGCAAAAACCAAAGCTAACTTAAACTCGCTTCAACTTGCTGAAGAAGAAATAAAACGAGAAATGATTAAAATGATGCGATATGATGCTTTGAATAATACAGCTCCAAATCAAGTTCCAGGAAAAGGCAAAAAGGCTGTGAACTTGGCCGTGCACAAGCAATATTTAGCAAAAGATGAGTATGTAGAATATACTAAAGAAGAGTTGGATGCTGCTAAAGAACTGTTGCAGCAGGAGATGGAACACGTTAAGGAGAAAATGGGACATGGTGAAATCACTCAAGAAGTTTACACAAAAGTATGGAGAGATTGCTACAGTCAAGTTTTATACCTTCCATCAGAAAACAGATATACTCGAGCAAATCTTGCTAATAAAAAAGATAGAATAGAATCACTTGAGCAAAAACTTGAAAATAATAGGGGCGAAATGACCAAAGAGGCAAGGCGTGCTGCAAAGATTGAAAAAAAGTTGAAGATTCTTACCATGGGCTACCAAACGAGAAGTGCAGGTCTTATCAAGCAATGCACAGAACTTTTCGATCAGCTAGAGACTGCTATGATTGAATTACACACTTTTCAGGTAATTTCTATACAAAAGTATTATCTCTTGCGATTCAGCAAGTGAATTACATACGGTAATGACATTTTTACATGTATTTTTTGACATATGTAAAAAATCTTTTTTATATCTTACACAATCAATTATACTATATGTCATAAAATACATGTAAAATTGGCTCCATAATAAGTAATGGATGCACACCCAAGTTAGTAGATACAAGTATCCACCCTTATACTAAGGTCTGTCTACTAAGAGATCATTGTCGAGCAGTAATTTCCTGCATCCATATCAAATGAATTATTTTTTATTTCAAGGAGCTTCATCGATCTGAGCAGGGTGCGATTCCCAAAAGAATGGAAAACATTGATCGCGATTACAATCTTCAGGCAAGACGAGAAGTTCAACTTCAGAAAAAGTATATGGAAGTTGTTCGTGAGAGAGATGCCCTTGGTGAAGGCACCAGTGGTTGAATATATACTATGTTGTTATCATCTCATAGTTATAACTTACAATGGTGGTGTTAGGATCTTAACACCTGCTGCTTTCTACTACTTAGACTGATGTGAAAGATTCTGCAATGCTGTATTAAGGCTTCTCGTTGCAAAGACTAACATGAACAACTGCAATTGTTGTTATTGCAAATATGCTCGAGCCCTTGACTTTTAAATAGTGACCATGTGCTTTTTCATGGCTAGATATAAATAAGTCTTTTACTTCAGAGCTGCTGTTTCCAATTTTATGATATCTGAATAATAAAGCTCCCGACTCTTTTTCTCTGTGCTTCCATTTGATTCAAGATGAGTATGTTAACTGGTAAGATCTTTAATTATCGAAGTGTCCGTGTATCGAAGTGAGGTGCTTGTTCAATATTTATTGATTGATTAATATTGATAAACAATAAAAACACCTACGATATGAGGTTGAAATATTGGATGCCACAAGTCATTTTATGTGTAATCTTGTTGAGTGTGGGCACCAGCGGTCATATATGCAGTCTCTTAGCTTCATTTCAAACGTGGTTGGTTCAATCGCGATTCAAAGGTGCTAATCGCGAGTCCACGTTTGGTCAAGTACCCGTCTTTATTTCGGATCTGGTATCGGCGAATACACCAAGAAGTATATTGGATTAGGCAAATCATAATTACTGCAAATAAATATTCCATTGATTCAAACAGATATGATCAATATTGCAATAATTTTGTACGAATTGTAAAATGGGGACTAATTTACTAAATACAGCATGCTAAATACGCGAATGACATGAATCATCGTTTTGGCTGACTTTCCGTGTCAATGAAACCTTTGTTTTATGATCTTTAGAATGCTTGATTCGTTTTCGGTAATAATATAAAATTATTTTTTTCCATCAGCGTTCACACTTTTGTCCATCCCTCCTTCACATTATGGTAATATAAAAAACTTCCGATTTATCGTTCACGACTCCGTCTGAAATATTTTTCAAAAAATGGCGTTATAAGTTTCCGCGTGAGTATATTTTTACTATCTCTATTACAATCATTTTTTGATGTTATTAGTATTGTGAGTTTCTAATTTGGACTCTTTTTGACGTAATTCCAAAAGCCAATCGATCATGCCTACTTGTAACTTCCTACGAAAGCTACGAACAATTGTTGGCACTTGTGGAACATGTGGAGGGTCACAGCCGAACTTTTTATAAAATGGAACAAAACGAAAATACCAGCAAGTACTCAAGTCGCTAGATGCCATTCTTTAAACGCAAAATTAACTGAAACACCTACTTGACAATTACCTCAACATAGAATGGCCGCAAGTTTGGTATTGATAAAAATGCACAGTCCAAGAAAACGCCTTTGTCTAGATTAGAGCAGTGTATAAAGGTTTTTAAACAAAACATGGGAAATACTTTGAAGAAATTACCAAGCAAAGAGAATAATGTTAAATCGCCCAAATGCAAAACAGATAATAGAATACCACCAAAAATTCATGGTGACAAGAAAAAGCAATCAAAAACAGATAAGAGCAATCGTTCATCGAATAAGGAGGCACAGCGTAACAGCAAAAAGGACTCTAAAAAACTTCCTGCCAAGGGCGCAAACACGAAAAAGAAGGCATCACCAGTCGAGGGTTTAAATTTTGGCAAACCAAACACTAAAAGTGATGGTTCTGATAAGTCTGGTAAAGTCAAATTAAAGAATCAAAAAACGCCCGTGCCTCCAATAAAAAGTAAGTCGTTGAGTAAACCCAATGAATCTGGAAACGTTGAAAATATCAATAGTAAAAGTGCATTGGAATACGAAGGAAAATCCCGAAAGCCTTCACCACCAATAAAGAATGCAAAGGCTCAGTGTCTCACAAAAGGAATAAAGGATAAGAAAACACGAAAGAGTGATTCTTCTACAAAAACTCAGTTATCTTCTCCGAAGTCAGAGAAGGTGGGACTTGGTAAGTGACCCGGCGGCTGGCATACACATAATTTGTGGCAACCATGCCTATGTTTTGTTAAAAGGGGATCATTTCGATTGACCATGTTACTAATTTCGTCACCCCGATAACGTTGTGAGATTGCCAATACTATAAATTGCATTTTGTGAAAGTCTACATTAAATAGGTACTTGTGCCGTAGTGAATTCCCTCCCACAAGCCACTACACACACCACGCTTTGGTCTAAATTAGATATAATTGTATTCGAATATCCAGGCAGTGGCGTATATATCACTACCGGTACAGATGGTCAGTTAAATACATAACACATTTTCGTCAGTTATAAATGGTTTTGTCGCTAATACCGTGTTTCCCCGAAAATAAGACCTAGCCTGAATATTGAAAAATGATTTTAATATAAGCAGTGATGAGCTGGAAAAATCGTAACAACCGGAACGCACCTTCGCAAAAATGTAATATATTTAGGTGTACTTATGAAACAAAATGATGCGGGCGTTTACAGAAATTTGTTCCGTCTCAAGATATGGCCGAAGGACTGCGATGAAATATGAAGAAATGATCTGAAATATGCCTGTGTAAAATTACAAGAATATTCATAGCAATTCAATACAAATGTCATTATTAGAAAGGTAAAGGATGAATTTTCATGGGGTTAAAATTCAAGGAAACATCTATTACACGTTACACTGCTGTACTAATTATTTGCGTAACGTGATGTACACAGAATTACGAAATATGCTGTAACAAAACATAAATTATCAACTAAGTTTACAAGAGTAACTAGACTTTTTATATTAATTTGATTTCAACAACAGGAACGCAAATGCAATAAAATGTCCAACAACCTTAACGCCGTTCTGGTGCGTTCCGGCCGCAGCTCCCCATGAATATAAGCCCTCCCCCTAAAATAAGACCTAGTCGATAGCAATAAATCCCTCCTACATGTTTTAAATGATTGAATAAAAACGTGTTATTTATAAGTAAATGGATATCCGTTTTTCATATTTTGTACATTTGAAAATCTCGTAATTCTCTATTTTGTAATTTTGTTTTTGATAAATGAAAATATAAGACATCCCCCGGAAATAAGCCCTAGTGGTATTTTTCTAAAAAAAAAAAAAATAGAACCCAGTATTATTTTCTGGGAAACACGGTAACAAAATATCTACGATCTGCTTAATTTGGATCGGGAGCATAGTGAAGAACAAGTGCTGTGTGCAATTTTACTTGCCTTTGATTTTACTGTTTGTTACGACGAGTTTTTTCGCTCGTTTTTCTGTAGACACAAGCCAGTGCTAGAAACAGTTAAATGCGTAGAAGTTTTACAATTGCGTTGCAAAGAGGTAGAAATGATACTATTAGTACAGGTGAGACAAACGGTACATTAAGGACATTGGGCTACTTGCCGTAATATATCACCCCTTTACCTCATTTTGCAGAAAGAATTCAAAAGATCTCACCGGAACAAAAAAATACAAGCACATATACAGATGCCAGTACTACCAGCACAACTAAAACTATTAAAGTAAAGTTATTGAAAAACACTGGAAATAAAAAACTCACAAAAAAGAGATCTGTTAGAAATGCACAATTGAATACGGTGAAGCCCCCAACAGATGAAAATATTGAGACCACCGAAGATGGGCTCGGTCAGTCTCACAATATAATGATTATGGTGGACGAATGGAAGAAAGAAGAGGAGAAGTAAGATGCACATGCTGTAGGAAATATAAAGGAATTTTCTCGTACCAGTAATCTAAAGTTTAGAATAAAAAAATAAAGGACTGTAATAACCGGTTCTTGAGAGATAGAAAAACAAATACAAACTCTTCATATACGAGTATATATATAATAGCTTACAAAATCGACCGAGTTCTACACTCTCTGCGACATATAAAATAGTAATGTGTACCAAAATGCATGTTTATTAGAATGAAATGATTTGTGTCTTTAGACTCCAAAAAGAATATGAAAATGCACAGGAGCGTATTAGAACTTCGTTAAGAGAAGAACATCAAGCAAAAGCACAAGCACAGACTTGGAGAGCAAGATTGGAAAGACTAGCTGTGGCTCACAGGTGAATAATGTGCATATATATATGTATTGGTATTGAATTTTAAATTTTTCTGTCATGAACCGATTCATAAAACCTATTTTCTGAGTTGTTATCAGAGTTTCATTAATTGGCAGAGAAAAACTCTTTCGGCAAGCAACCTTACTGAGGGCTCGTCTACGGAGTGCCGAACATCGACTTGTGTCTACAGAAAAACGAGCAAAAAAACTCGTCGTAACAAACAGTAAACTCAAAGGCAAGTATCGTCTCAAACTATAATATGCATTAGTGAATTTTGCACTTTTGGTGGACACATATAACATTTAACAACTTAATTACGTCAAGTTTTTTATTGACAGGGATGATAGATGTAGTCAAGGAGGAAGCGCGATCGCTCCGTGTGGAAAGCGAGAAGAAGAGGGAATCTGCGAGAAAGGAATTAAATGAAAAGCTAGTTTCCGTTGAAGGAGATCTAAGAAAGTTAAAAGAACGCCTCAAGACTTCAGGCATGTCAGAGTTAAAAAGCATTGCCGATGAAAATAAACCTGCAATCATTTGTGCAATAGCTGGTTCAGGCGCTAATAACGAATGCGACATCAGTACAGACATGGACGCGGACGGCCACCGCATGTCAGAAGTACATCGTAAAAAAGTTTCGCCGCAGAAATTGAAGAAAACAGAAAACCTTCAAACATGTAATGGGCTGCTAAATACAAAAAACGCTGTTCACTTTCCCATTCCACCGACCTATATTCCAACGCCTTCAGTTAATGCCTTTGGATTTCCTCCCCCATCTGTACTGTGTGGACCGGCGTACTCTCGCTATGTCAGTCCGTCGTACGTATCCTACCCTCCTCTTACCAATAGCTACGCATCGCCACCGTATATGACAGGACCGTCATATCCCATAACTAATGCGTCTTTGTATCAAGATATAATACCCCCTATTCAGCCGTGTTTTACCATGTCCCATAACAAGCATCGAGGAACACGTGGAAACCGAACAGTACCAGACCGATATTTGGGGGCGACATTAGGAAGTGCCAAGCCCAGACAGAAAGTAGGGCACCAAATGGAAATTTCTGACAGACTATATAACAACCCAAAAAATTCTGACTTTAACACCAACATACTGCAACGCATTCCCTGCAATCGAGATCTTAATAAAATTGCTATGAATTCACAAATAAAAGACTTACGCGTGAAAGATACATCTGGACGCACCATTAATAGACCAAATGTTTCATCGAGGAGACAGCCCATCCGAATTCCGACTGCTGAAATACATAATTCCTCAACAAACTATGATACAAGTTCAGCAAGCAATAGCACACGCAATCCACGGTGCCGAGTCAACCAGCAATATGTAGTATCCGAAAGAGAAGTTTACAACGCCTACGCCAGAAGTCGACATCGTCCGAATACCTTTCTGCACGACAATGACTGTGAAAATTGTGATCCTGTCCCAACAGATGAAGTCGTGTATCCAACTGGCGCAGTCCATAACAGTAGTCGAAAAACGGACGAGTCTCCTCATTCAAATGGTGAAGGTAATCGCAACGAACTTGACAGTGGCGCAATTTTTTACAAAGGCATATCGACTGAAAAAAAGCAAAATGGAACTGGGACTTATTTCAGCTCATCTCTCAACAGGTAAATGATTTATTGAACACCGCAAAAATTTCGCCTTCGGCTGTACAGAAAAAAGTCAAGTGGCGGCTTGTACAGACATTAGAAACAGCGATTCTGATTGAATTAACTGGTTGTTCCCAGTTACTATTTTTGGGTCAGACTAGACCTTTTAAAATTAGATCGACGTGAAATTCACCACCACGATTAATTATTCGCGCATATGGTCATTTTAGGGCTTCAAAGCTAACATGGGATGCCTACACCACCAGATACAAACTCCAGGTATTCATCTATCACTCTTTATATTTCACAGCGGAAAGAGGAATCTTTCCCATACAGACACCCCGTCAGTTGTCGAGTCCGCACCAACACCTTATAATGAAAGAGGCTATTTCGGAGATTTCGAAAGATCGGCATCTACGCTGGAAGTTGCAAGAAAACGTCGGATCATTGGGCGCCGTGACAGGAAGCTTTAAGTCGTATCATAGGTTCATCATAAAGTATTTTCCGCTCTGTTCACCTCAATAATATTCAATTTTAAATAAATGTGTAATTCCCGTCTCGCCAGAATGTTTTGTAAACTTTTTGCATACAGTTTTTCGGGCATTAAATACACTTAATCATCACTACACCTTTGCAGCACACGCCAGCAGTGTTAACAACCGAGTTCAAAGCCGCAACAATGTTCTAAAGTCACTCGCGGGTACTACATGGGGTAAAGACAAGAATACACTCCTTACCACCTACAAACCTATCGGTCGATCCGTCGTAAATTATGCTGCACCAATTTGGACACACCAGCTCAGCGCTACGCACTGGAACTCCCTACAACGAAGGCAAAATGCGGCTCTTAGAACTATCACAGGATGTCACCTCATGGCCAGCGAAAATCATCTCCACCGAGAAACAAAGTTGCTGCCAGTGAAGGCTCACAATGAAATGCTATCCTCGCAATTCCTTGCCGGATGCTACGACCAATACCAACCCTGCCACATAACAAGCATCAGAGAACCGCCACATCGAAAAATCAAGAAGGGATTGATTGAGACATTTGGCTACTTGGCTGAAGCATTTTCCAATATGCCGAGAAATATAGCACTCCAAGAAATTCATACTAAATTCGTGTCAGACTACCTTTGCCACCAAAAACAAAACTTGGTCCTGGGAGGTCGCCAAACAAACCACTACATGACACGCATTGATCCAGCAATAAGGGATATCTGCCCCGAGTGCGGAACCGGCCCGCATCTATTTATATGTTCAGCCAAACCAACACATCTAACTACAAGGGACCTGTGGGAGAATTCGGTCGAAGCCGCCATGTTCCTGGGTCTTCAAACACAGAACGACGAAGGGTGTTAACAACAACAACTTAATCATTGCGGGGACAAGTCACACCCAGTGTATTTGTTCAAATGAACCTTGGCGCATTTTACTCATTGGAGCGGCAGGTTTTATGCCAGAAACGTATTTATTTTCTATCTGAACTGGCACAAAACGTGTTAAGCCAGAGCTCACTTATCTAGTATGAGAGTCATGAGTCGTTCTTCCAAATTTCATGGAGAGGGAATTCTAATGCCCTCTTCACATACAAGTTTTTAAAGTTTGAAGTCAAATAGATAGCACTGCTGATGACATAATCCTGAACAAAGTGAGAGAGGAATAATTTTCAGAAACTTCCTAATCATATTATATTATTTTTGCCTAAAGACGACTCTAGTCAGGTCCAGTACAGAGGGCTGCACTCGCCTTTTATGCACGAAGTTTAACTCGGGTTGAAAACTCAGTGGCGAAAAATTGAGTAATTAGGAGATGTATCACACTGCAATATTTTCGTACAGTGGTTCAATGATGAAAAATGTGCGGTACATAAATGTAACCCATATGAAAGGTGATTTATAATCTTCACAAAGGTTTATTTGTCAAAATCTCATGAAGAAAGAGAATTTTTGTAAAAAGGTGAGTTTTGGACAAGCTTCTCCGCTCTTCTTGGATCTATTTGCAGGGTATTGGCATTGTCTAAGACCTTTTATCTGGACTGCCGAAACATAAATAAAAAAACGAAATATAAAAACAATTTCATTTTCAACCATGATTTTTCTTCCTTCGATTGTAAACTGTTAATAAATATTTAATACGTTTGTCAGTTTGATTCAAATCCTCTGCATGCATTCTTGCTCCATACTGCTTCCTCCTGCATATACATTCAAATATGTTTTTATCATGATAATGAAGCAGAAATTTGATGAAGTTATACAACAGTGGAAGATCATAGAGCACATGTCAATCTAGATTTAGGAATGGGATTTTATTTAATTAAAATGTGCAGAGTAGCCATTGCTGGTTAACATACAAAATCTAGGGTTTGGATTAAAAGGAAATAATATCAAAGACTGAAGGAATAATAAAAAACAATATGCACACTTTAACATACCTGTTTAATAACATTTGAACCTCCATCAACCGTTTACCACGAAGATAAGAAGGGCCTTTACACAATAAAGCAGGTTCCATTGTAACATCGTTTCCTAGAATAACATGAAACATTTTTTCAAGAAAACACTCTGTTGCTGTATTTATCACCATTTATGCTTTACCAACTTGCTCAAGAATATAGTAAATATGCAATTGGTTACAACTTTTTATTATTTATCAGTGTATTATCAAAATATTGGTATTTTGATGCTTGCAATAAAGATAATACACACTTTAGTAAAATCATAAAAAAGTTCATAATCACATTAATAATCACCTAAAATATCCATGAAGTCATAAGTTCCGAAGTAAGCATTTTCAGGTGACCAGGGATTATTATTCTGTTCCATTGGAACATTAGGTGCCCATGTTTCATCAGTTACTCTATTTTTTGGCCAGTTTTCAGTGTTAACCCATCTTCTTTTATACTTTTTATAACCCAATGCACAAGCACCTAAAACAGTTAAGAGAAGTTAAATGAATATGAGCAACAGAGATCAATATTTAAGTCCGAAAAAGCATTCTAAGTTATTTCTAGCGAAGATAACTATGTTGTTGCGATTTAGAGTAAGCATACAATATTGATTAAATACAGGATGAAAGCAAAGTGGATTCTAGGCCATAGTTTGAATGATCTATGTTATAACTGGAGATAAGCTGTAGGCAGAACACACCAGAATGTTGTCCTGGTTGTCAAAGGTCTTATTTTATTCCCTTAGTGTTGTCAAGAGAAAATCATGTCATGAAAAGTTGGGTTTCTCTGCTAAACTCAGTTATTAACTGTATGTTTTTTTATGTCTCAATTATATTTATATTGCAGCAGATAAATAGTGAGAATCGCCATAACATGTAATTCTAATGAATGTTTCAGACCTTTGACTCAGAAAAGTTCCTCTTATGCCTTACCATTATAATATTTCTCATGCTTATTTTGAATATTAATAAGAACATTGACAGTTATTTTTGACTATTTAATACAGTAATATTAATATTTTATTGACTTGCTTTATATGTAACCTACATTTCATTTAACACAGACATATTTCAGATCATTTTTTCATATTTTAATGTAGCTCTTAGGCTCTATGTAACGACACAAAAAAATTCTGTAAGAGTCCGAGGATGTGTTGTAAATGCATTCTCCCAAATTAGGTGCGTTCTGCTTGTTAGGATTTTCCAGCCCAATTTTTGGTTATAACTGACAAAATGCATAACAAATACAATTGAGCACATCCCAAAGATTTAAGTTAAACTGAAACAGTTACAATACAGAAAATAGAATGATATCTGTATATTGATATATCACAAAAAGAAAGATATGGAATGGAACATAGAAAACATGTTGGATGTTGATCGTCTGCGCGTTTTGGACGACCATCCTCATACTTTGGTGGGTCTTATTACGCCACTGTGACGTCCAATTGACGTAATTTTTTGATGACGTAGTCAGGGGGTTAGGATTAACATATGCAAAAATTGTTGAGCCAGGCCAACTAGAAGTGCATGTGGTACTAAACTATACCAGACCCGCATATTCAGATATTACAGTGTTATGTACGGGCAGTAAAACGAAAGTATTTACTCACTGGTTGAAAAAAAATCAGTAGCTGTTGAATGACAAGTAGGTAAAACACGACTCAACACCAAAGTCCTCAGGGCACAGTTCATCTCTTCAGTTGAGAACGATTGCGGTACCCTTAATCAGTCGCATATGATTACCGAGAGCGAAAATTGAACTAGGCCTAATATTGTCCTCGACTGCGGTACGCATTGCTTGGGACAACAACTTCGCTCCACATTGCCACTAAGTGGCGAAAAAGAGTAACCCATTTTGCACAACCCCGTGCAACTAACTTGTCCCATTATGGCGTCATATGAACGCCATTTTCGATCATTCGGCTCGAGTAGTGTAACGCAAACAAGCCTAATTTTAGTAGTTTTAAAAGGCTATTGGGGATTTAAATCAGTAGTTATATTCCGAGGGCGCAGAAATCCGATAGGATGTCTCAATCAGTATCGAACCCAATACGGGGCATTTACATTAAGAACCCACGCCGCTCGGTAACAAACATAATATAGACGCAACGGTTAATAAAGTGAAGTTTATTTCGGTTTTTCGTAACACTAAAACAAATATATAGGCAATGCAAGTCAACACACACACATATAGCCTACGGAAAATCGGGAAAGTAGGCAAAATCTTAAACTATTCACGACCTGCTGATGCTAGGGCTACCAACCGTCCCGGATTTGATGTCTGGCATCCCGGTGGTCCGGAATTTACTGACAACCAAAGCGTCCCGATGGCGTGACAAGACCTCCGTGATGATGTTTCCATTAGGATAGTAGACACACACAGTTTCACACTACAACAGGCCTAAATGACTGAAATTAACTAAATTTTTCGACAGTGAAGGCGACGTCAAATGGGACTGTAGCTAAATATTGATGTCAATGTTACATTAGAAATTCGCCCTTTTTAGACACTCCAGGCTCCAGCTGCATAACTGAATTGTAAACGTCCTTACCAATGGCAGTACAATGAGAGAGAGAGATTTTATTATTTTGTCAACCAAAAAATACAGTCATCAATGAAATAGCCACAGCCACAATTTTGAGAAAAACGCAAAAAACAATTTGGAATTTTTTCATTCTTGAATATCTATTCTAGTCTATCTATTCGAAGTGATCAATATTAAGTTTAACCCTGAGAGATGACTAATGGCAAAACTTGAACTATTTAGATAATATTTTAACAATAAATTTGTGCACGAAATGAGGGGAGGTGATGGAAAATTATACCTAACTGATACCTGAATTCAATGAGGTTCGGACGATAATAATCAGAAAAAAATAAATAAATTGGCTATATACACAAAATGGATCAGGGACAAAAAAATTAATGTGATGAGGATGTGTCTGAGCGTGAATAACAAATAAAATAAAGTGCAACCCAGTGGACATACACGTTACACAGCAACACATTGGATAGGGCAAGAGGAATTCTATTCATAGGTTTGTCATGATCCGAAAATGTTTAAAAATTGCATGAACTTTATATATATGTTTGGGTTTTTTGCAACCTTGCACTCCAAGAATGTTAATACTTATAATGTACTTATCAATAAGTTTTAGCAGGTGGGGTTTTGAAAATGTTTCTGACTCACACAAGAGGATCAATCAATAGGAAAATTCAATAATTCACATCTTGGGAATCGTGTCTACAAAACAAAGCGAGCAATGATCATCATAGGAATAGTGAACATTTTTATTTACATCTTTAGTGTTACAGTATGATTCATGAAACCATTACAAACAAACTAATAGTCCAGAATTTGGAAATAATTTGATTAACCAATAAAAAGAAATGATACTTCATATCAACTATCAAAGACATGAGAAAAAGACCATTCAATTGATCAAGAATAGCATGTAAATACCTTAATATGAAAGACATAGAAAAGAAGTGCTTTTCGATTGATTGAAATTAAAATTTTAACAATTAAATACCAAAGACATGAAAAAGGTACAATGATTAAACTTCAGCAGTATGTGTACCAAGTGACGGTTAGCCCCATATTTCATTTCGACCTTCCTCATCTTAGGTCATCACGAGCTCTGAACTGCCCATGTCAGCCAAGCGATGGCGACTACATATGAGTGGCTGATTAAAAACGCAAAAAAATAGCACCCCCGTGTTATAATGAAAGTGTTATGTTGTTTCATATCGCAAAAACGATTAGAGGGAAATCCACCCCCCCCCCCTCTAAATTTTCCAAAAGCATTCTCACATCTTTGTGCTTTTTTATATGACCCAACATTATAAGTTTCTGACACAACTGGTTCGTCCTGGAGTCGGCTGTTTCAATCAAACCCAAAACGTTAAAGCGTTTAAGAAATGATTTACGAGACATTCAAACTGGCAATTAGAGTTTACTTTGGCATTCACAACTCACTGTAGGCCTATTGTTATTTTTTGAAACTTCATCTCAGTCAATATTTTAGTTAATACAGGTCTTGATGATTTGAATGTTTTGGTGGATTTGGCACATCGAATATTGTCATTCCCTTTTATTTTAATTTTTTCCATTTATCCGTACTCTTCGGTTCAAATTGGTATTCTTCAAAAATGAGTCTGAAAAAGGAATGAGTTGTAGGTTACACAAGGAACGTACTTTCGAAATAACAAGCGTTCAGCATCACATTTTTAACACAAAAAATAATTGACAGTGACTTAACGAAACACGCATTCAGTTCAGAAATTCATTATTTCCACTAAGCTCCGAATTGTCTACTCATATTGCTGCTAATCACTATAAATTTTTGTTACTGCAGTGCTTTAAACAATCGTGACAATAAATCTGATACATTCAATGCAATGTTCTGACTTTGCATTACTTAGGCAGATTTGAAAACAGTTTCCCTAACCTGCTGACCTGACATTTGAAGCCAGCATTTAGAAAATCTTACTAATTTAACTCAACTTTCCTGGGGTCAGAGCTAACTTAAATGAGTCGAATCGGCAACGTGACATAAATAATTAAATATGACATCATCCTAAAACTGTGTACCACCTATCTTTCCTGGTGTTAGTTTGACATTAGGCCATTCGTTTGACTAACCTCACACAAGGAACTGCCTGGGCCAGATTTCCAGCCTTTACGTCGCCTACACTTATTTTCCCATTTCATCCTTCTCTGCATCTGATGATATCTTTAATAGTTGCACTGTTTTGCTATTCCCGCTGCAATTAGAGCCGAACGAACCTTTAATTCTACAGCAGAAGGCACCAGCCTAGCCGCGGATCACGCAGAACCGCCGTAACCTCGCAGGCGATATTGATCGAAAATGGCGGCCAATTTCCATTGTTGCGCAACTTAGGTATATAAGGACTTTGATTTTGCAGAATGGCAAGAACAGACCTTTTTTTATTATACTCCGTCTAATTTTTAGTATTAAGTTGATTCCTAGTGTTAATGGTTTTTAGACATTGTTCACAAATGTTTGTGCTCATACCTCCAATTAGGATTTTTAAATGACCCGTCGTACCTCAGTTTTCAAAGCTAAAATCTCGGATGAGTTGATTGAAGTTAGCGGCGTATTTTTAAATCAGTCTTGTACAGTATAATGAATTTGACCGCATCTTTTTTTCCATGTATTTTTTGTTATCAAACGCCGTCTGTGGGATATATTTCTCGCTCATATGATCTTGTTCATTAACCAGATAAAATGGGTGAGAAACCACCGACGTCTGCACGTACCTGACTGGCGTGGGCTGAATATATATATGTACAGGAGGGAAGGGTTTTTCTACAAATACATGCCAGAACTCCTGCCCCATAAAATCACAGTCACGCAGACGAATAAGCCTGTGGCGATAAGCTCTTTTTTAATGCTGAGCACAAATGCACTAACTTTTTAACTTATAAAACATATAAATATATATAAAGTACCATTTATTTTCAACTGACATAGTTAGACAATAATAAAAAAAGTAAAGCAAGGGCAGTGTACAAATTGGTCAAAACAAAGTTCCATCGAATGATAATCTGATCAATATGCTTCATGGATTTTTGTGAATAAAAGATATATTGTCAAACAAAAAATTATAAAAGAAAATAACAATATAAAACATATTCTGATTTATTTCAACGATGAAGATGCGTCATCTCACTTAATTCACATTATATTTTAAGTGAATCATAATACTGCTAGAGAAAAACAAAAATGCATAAAAATTAATATTCCAAATGACATAGCGACAGTTAGCAGAGAAGAGGCACAATCAATTTTATTTGTCAACCACAATCAATATTTTTCTGCCTAGAAATCAGAATTTAGGTGAACAATATTCAAGTTCTGCTGTTGTATCACTTTTTTGAGATGGAGAAGCAAATGAAGTTTAGTTACCCATATCCTGGATTTCTAGATGAATTTAAAATTAGAATTCGGCTTGAAAGTGCATCAAACCAATTAATTTTAGAGTTAAAATTGCAAAAAATGATGCATGGAATGTTATTGATTCTTATTAAATACACAGAAATGAATTCCAGACGATAATGCTGGATTCTGAATTACATTTAGATTGTCTTTTTTATCTGTATACCAAGTAGATAGACAGATGTTCTTTGAAATGCAAAAAGAAAGTGATCTATTAACAGCACATAGTTCACATCGACTTGATACATATGATTTTGTTACAGACAAAATCCATATTTTTTATGATTAATAGCCGTTACAAGAAACAGGTAGTCTGTAACAGCATGCACAGCAGTGGAATATGGTAATGGAACATTTATTGTACAGCAGAATTGAGAGTTCCATCAGACCCATACACCTTCAGAATTGCCAGCTTGTGGTGGGGGTGGAGCAGCTGAAAATGGTGAACGAGACCCACCTACATTGAGAGAAGGACTTGATTCATACATTCTTCTCATGGATTGAGCTGAAAAGTAATATACATTTCATTCATAGATGTAATAAAGTGAAAAAGCCAAATATGGTATGTATTGAAAAAGAAAAAATTCAATTCATGATCTATTTGCGTCTTACCTCTAGTGTCGGATTCTTCGGTCTCAGGTGGCAAGACTGTTACTTTGGATCCTGTTTTCCTGATGAACTGTTGTAAGTTGACTTGACGTAATTCACGATTCAATAAATCGAGAGATGAATATTTATGATCAATATCTGTACAAAGAATACACTTATAGTAAAACTAGGTTACATGGAAGCTCACTTTCATGTCAACAATCACTATAATGCAATATTAATTTAATTAGTTTAAATTCAGAAGCACTACTCAACAATATTTCTCTGTTTAATCATGACTTATGACAGATTTTGATATGCTTCTAACTACCTATTCAAAATATTTGCCATAAATAAACTTGCTATTTTATAGGAAGTTGTGTATAGCATCTCTTATAAATTGTCACTACTTTCAAATGGAAATTTCTGTGATCAATTACAGGACAAGATCCCATCGCTATATAAAAAATAATCCTTAGTTTATCTAGCATGAAACACTGCTTCAAAACTCAAGTACAGAAATTTTTTTCAATCCGAAAACTACCCAAGCTTGAGGATGCATGTTCCAGTTTACCTTGTTCTCTGTTGACAATTTGGCTTTGAATTCTTTCAATTTCATCTTTCATTGAGTTAAGATTCCAATTAATATGATCAATATCCTTTTTACTTTTCATTGCAATGTTTTTATTATTTTCGGCCACTCTTTGTTGTTTTGCTCTCTGTAGATGACTCTCTTCAGCAATTGCCTGCATAGAGAAAACATGCAATTGGTGATTAGCACATAGCTACCGTACATCCTTCAGTTGCAATGGAAAATAAGAAGAGCAAAACACTCCTTTTCCACCTGGTTATAATGAAATAAACCCTTGGCATGGATTACTTGACACGAATCAACCTATTATTGTCAGTGGAAAATATTTATAATAAGTAAAATTATCGAAGAAATACTTCAATTGAAAACATGCATCACTGATGCATTCAACCTAAAAACTAACCACTTTATAGACACCTGGTTCAGAAATATCATTTCTAAGTTTTTTAAAGCTAGCAAAATGATATGAAAATAATAATATATAAATGATGGTATGCATTGTAATTCTAGAATTTTATATACGAACTTAAATCGATATTATTTCTTATCGATCTCTTGTATTCAAATTATCAAATACTATTTATTGTAAGAGATTCATGAGATAAAAACTAATAAAGCTGTGTTTGAACCGTAATTAAAAAAGAACAGGTTACCTTAGTTAGATCCTCTTTCTTTCTTAAGCAAGCAGAAATATCAGCTGACGATCGATCTATTTTAGCTTGTAGATTACTCATTTGTCTTTTTGTCATGGATTCTAAAAAAAAAATCCAATAAACTGAATGAGACCAACAATCGCAAAAATACTATTGATAACATAGTAAACTGATTTACGCGTTTGGATATCATTTTTTATGAACCACAATTAAAAGCAATTGCAATAATCAATACCTTTTGCGTCTTCTGCTGAAAGCTCTTCAGGGACATTGTATTCACTTTCATATTCAATCTCTAGCGATCTATTTTTCTCTTCTAGCTGTGTAATTTGAGCCTGTAAATGTAATTCATTATACCATCAACTAGGCAAAAGTAATTAATAACATGTGATTAGGAACACTGGCATCGAAACAGCATGCCAGACCTACTGACGGTTAAAAATAGCCTCATGGTCTTACATATTACAAACAAATAGAATTTCCCTTTTAAATTAATCACACACACTCTACATAGAAATTCTAACTGAGAGCTACTGGATGCACAGCCCAGATAGTTCTTTATAAAACTGAATAATTCGATTTGTGGTAGTGATTGTTAGCTGGTTCGGTGACCACATTAATATGACAATATTACAAAATTTATGCCCTATAGGCAGAGCAGTGGTTTTCAACCAGAATTGCGTGGCACCCTGGAGAAATTTTTAACAATAGGGATCAACACCCGATATAGATGATCAAAAAGTAACCGAAATGTATTATGATTCAGGCATAATAACAAGAACCAATGCCCGAGTTCCATATAAAAAAAATAGTACAAACCTCTATTTCCCTATCCCTCTGTTGCATTGCGTCAATAATAATTTGAATTTGTTTATCCAATGCTGATATCGTGTCTTTTTGCTCTTCAACATGCTTCTGCTGTTCAGAAACTAACTTTGAAAAATCTTCTTTCGCTCTTGCTTGCTCTGATAATTTACTAGACTGCATTGGAACGGGCGAGGTCGGATGATAACTATGTCTCGAATTGTTTTGATAAGCATCTCGATGGATTTGTGGATTGGGTGTCATGGCGCGTTGCTTTTGAGTTGGTGGCATCAACGCAGATCGTCTATTCGTTTCTTTATTCAATTGCTTTTTGCTATCATCTACAGAAGAACTATTTGCTTCACTCCATGATTTCTTTTTCGACCGAGGTAGCGAATTACCATATCTATATGAAGAGTTTGAGAGTTTGTTTTCATTGGGCAACGAGAATGGTGTTGGAGTCATTGAACTGGAACTCAAATTATTTGAATGATTTTCTGAACTACTTGGAGAGCTAGGCGATGCTTGTGGCTTGTCAAAACTGTTGCTTTGGTTCCGATTGCGCAATACTTTATTCGTTGGAGGCATAAGTGGAACTTTTCCACCACTTTTGATATTAACATTTTTTATCTGGTTATCTGCATTTTTTCTTATAGGAGATTTTGCGAACACATCACTCTTGGTTTCTGAAGGAAAAAGAGCTTCAGTTGCAGAACTGACATTGTTTCTTCCTCCTTGCGTGTGAGGAGGCATCAGAGGAGTTTTTGCGGAAACTTTTCTGTCATCTTCTTTGGTCTTTTTATCAGATTTGTGTTTACTTTTCGATTTACCGTCTCTATCTCGGCTCTTATCTCGTCTCCCAGAGTCTTTGTTCAGTGCATTAGAACTGAATTTTTCAGCGGCTTTTCTGACATTTGCCGGGACAGAACCAGACGTTGATCGATCATAACGAGAAGGTCTTGCATCCTCTGTTGAAATCTGAGTTCTATTGTTGTTACCATTGCTGTTCTGGCTTCGTTTGTCTATAAGCGAAGGATATAATGGAAATTGTAATGAAACATATCGATAGAGATGAATACTTAAGAAAAGTATCAGAATAAAACTAAGCACTATTTTATGCTATGGCTAATTTTATATATCTTTATAGACAGCCTGTACTTAAATATCCTATTATGCATAACTAGTATGAATTTGTTTAAAAAAAATAATATTTTTCAGATGATTACAGTTGCAGAGATAGGAGAATCAAATCCTCAGTTTTCACACTTTATGGGAAGAAATGAATTAATCTTGTTGGAACTAACCAAATACATTAAAATTAATAATAGCCTCTGCTTGTACCTCTGCTATCATCACCATAATTTTGTGAAGTTCCACCAGTTATTGTAAGTGATTTCCGTTTGGGTTCTTTTCTTTTGAGGCCTTGTAACATCTCACTCTTCTCTCTATTTTTAGCAAGTGGTGGTAGACTTTGTCTAAAAAAGAAGAATATTTGTAATAGGCTATATGCAATAGATCAGTGTTTCTCCACCTATGGGTTGCTTTTTTTTTTCAACAAGCTTGAAAGTTATTGGTTTCATTTGTTAGGAAATTGTATTGTTTATTTTATATTTGGTATTGTAGTGTAGCTCAGTAGTAACTGTATATGCGAGAAGTATCACGGTATAAAATCTTGGCAGCATATATTTCATTTAAATAAACCACCGCGGCACCACCCTGATTTCAAAAACTTCCTAACAGCAAACAAGCGCAGCTTTTTCGCCATTGCAACTTCGAATCAATTTCTGTTGAAATAAATGCTACATAAATAAGAAATGACTGATTTGTATTAGTCATTTATTCAATTTTATAATTTTGTGGCCATGAAAGCACTACATGCTATTTATTATGTGCACATATCCTTGGGTCGCGAAATTTTACAAAATTATTTTTTTTTAAATTTGGGTCGCTTGAAAATAAGCTTGGGAACCATTGCAAATCTGCAATAGATCACAATAAAGGACAAGTACATCTTTATAGACCGATAATGAAGAATTGTTTACAAAACTTTTAGAGGGCTAAAAGAGGTATTATTAATCATTTCGAGCCATATCAGTATTAGGATCCGATCTACCATTATTAATGTAGACATTTTTCACATTAAAAAATAATAGAGGAATCGAAATTGTTCCAAAGCGATATTAAATTATGCATTATATGTGTCTACCATGATAACTTATTAATGCTAGGAGCTGGCACACAACATAATATTAAGAACACAATTTAAAAAATGCTCACTGTATTGTAATACAATACAAATATATTGATGTTTTTTCAGTCTATTGGAATATTGACCATTCCTTCATATTAGTTTTATACAATTCGATAGTAGGTAGAAATAGCCAATTCATGCTTCACCAGTCAACTAAGCTATGCAAAGCTGATGGATGTTATATAATTGACTTTCATGTCAAATACTTCATCATACCTGTAATGATTGCGTTCTGGTGCTTTTATATTTTCCACATCACTGCTTGTTGTACTTGCTCCTGTACGCTTGAGTAAGAATTGGACATCGCTTGCGTATTCTCCCCACTTCTCTAAAACCTGTCAAAATATATCATTAGTATTAGGCTTATTAAAATGAGTTTTACACCAACCCTCAAATTTACAAAAATATACAGTGAAAATAACGATAAAAACAAACCTTAATTGGATGCTCGCTTGGAGGCAAAAGCTTTTCCATATCTTTCCATTTTTCAACTAAAGTATATCTTCCGGTGCGACCTGAAATACAAAGATTTTACTGTCAATTTTTTAGAAGTTGTACTGCTTGAAAACCTTTCATTTAATAGCTACATAGCCCATTTTAGATTGTGAAAAAGTTTGCCATTGAAGATACTAAATATATACATGATGCAATGACAAGAAAACATGCAAAATTACATATTGAAATCGCTGTTAACGACATGGCATATTAGGAAACTTGCGCATGTTGGTACGACACGATAACACAACATATAATTAATATATTAAAGTGAGCCTACCTGTCGCCTGTGCCAATGCAATAACAACCTCTTGAACTGTTGTCTGCTCAGTAATCCCACAAACAACACGCTGTATTCCTTCAACCCATACTTTTAATTCCATTTTGTTACACCAATAGTCAGATGTTGGCAGGCGAAAAAAGCTTGATTATGTTAAATGTGATCAGGGAAAATTCCAACTTACATAGCCATGATCAGTGACCACATAAGTTATCAACTGTTTCCTTATATGTAAAATCTGTGAAAGAAACTTTGTTACATTAATTGATATTGGAGTCAGAAAATTTAAAAGTAACATCTAATGTAATTTTTTCCAATTTTTTACCCTTTATTTATTTGTGATGTGCTATTTGTAATATTCACATCATATTTATTATTTTATAGAACATTTCACTGAGTTTAATAGAAATACAACTTTAGACACCTAGACAACATTCCTGTTTAGGTAAAAGAATGTAAAAGTCGATATCTGGTTGTGGTTTAAAGGAGAATGTATTTCTAGCTTGAAATAATGAAGCAGAATACAAAATTACGGGTTCAGTTTCGAACCAATTAACTTGTGTCTCCCATGAGTGAAAATTTTTTCCAATTAAATAATGGCAATTTTAATTCCAATGTCTAGTGCCTAAGGCAAACCAAATTGCAAATACAATAATGTTAAAATACAATATATTTTTCATAACAACCAGCAATACAGTTGCCTGCAAAGTATCCAACTACATATGTTTTGTCTAACTAGGATCTTGGCATCACTGAATAAAGGTGATTAGCTTCAGATGCCATGGAATAATAGTATGGGCATGTGTTTAACACTAACAGAGTTACGAGGAGTTTTCCAGATAAATGTACTGTACTATTTATCTGTGGAATGTAAACAATAACAGAAGTAACAGAAGTAATTTCTATATTTGGTTTGACAAAAGGAACATGCAACGTTATTTCAAAGTAAAACTATGTAACTATTTTGGTCTCCCGCTGGGCATACTGAGGATACTATTACAGTAAAATTACTAAAATTAAATCCACTGGACGTAGATCCTGAAATCACGAAATATAATCCCAGAGTAAACTTCGACCACAGTGCGTGACTCCCAGCATGACTCTAATGGCACTCAAAACCTCGAAACAATAATAAGTTAGAAATTTCGGAATAAATGTAGAAAACAATAAAGGCATCTACGCTCCCATTGCGATAGGTTTAAAATTGGTCACGCAAATTCCATTATAATATGAGACCATCACGCTTGAATAACTACCACAATAACTTAGCATAAACGTGAAAAATAAACTTTGGCTCCGACGAAGCGCCGCCTTTGATCTCTTACTATAAGACGCGTCAGAATGTTAAAATATCTGGCGTTAATAAAGTAAAATTGATTTTAATATCATAAAAAGCAAAACAAACTCCTTTCGTTTTCGGAATTGAACATTCAACAATTTTTTTATGAATACAACATAATAGGCAGTTTGATCATAATTGAACACAGGTGAACAACAACTCGACATCATTGTATACCGGTATATATATTCTAATCTAAGCCTACGACGAACTTTCACCAAAGATCGATACTCGATACATTATGACGCACAATCAACATTTCCCACGACGTTGTCATCTACTACCTACTCTCGGTAAAGAACCACTTGTGCCACATATTAATCCATGCGAAAAAAATCGACTCGACATCAGCCATACAAACTAATAGTAATGCGATAACTTCTTTTGTTTGCGTATTATCACAACAGAGAACGTACAAATGGAGTCTCAACGTACGATTAGCACCATATAGTATATGAACATTTCTCATCACAAAGATTTGAATTCTGCGGTTATTTGTCAAGTAAACTTAAGATTATATTAGTTCTGTGCTGAAAGTAAGTCAAAGATGAATTGAGCATCCATATCGCGTCCCATCCATATTCGACGATAAAACCCAACGCATAGGTGGTCAATAATCAACATCGTTAAAAAACGTCATTGAGTACACATTAACGACTTGAGCGAATATTTCTGCAATGGCGTGGCGACTTCACTTTGGTATAACAGTGACGCATTAAGTAATCTAGAGGTCAAAACCACCGACAAGCGTGAATGAGTCTACAACTTCAACTAATTGAGATCGGCGTACGTACGTCACGCACGGCATTCGAAAACAATTTACTAATCCAAATCAAAAATTTCCAGGGCTAGTGGTAATGTAATGAGACTTACGAATAAATTGCGAATTGAAAATGACTCATAGTTGGTAGATAACATTTGTTGTTTGTATATAAACTGTCAGTATATCATATTAAACCCATCGACCGATATTTGCTATCTACGGGGTAAAAGTAGAGTCTTTTTTTGAGTAAACGAAAATACATATGGTAAAGAGCAAGGATTCCAGCAATTAAAGTTGCAACCCGAGACAGAAATATAAATATACTATAGTAACTATACCGTCAGCAATATTACTAATACAACCACAAGTCTACAATCGAAATTTTGATTCGAAACACGATTTATACTAATATCTAATGTATTGGGTGAATTTTCATAATCTAATCATAACTTCGTTTACTGATACACGGAAAAATTCTTAAAAAATAATTTATTTTCCAATAAATTGCCCCGAGCTATTCAAAATTAACGCTCAGCGTTTTAAAACGTCAGAACAATTTGAAACGCCAAAGCCATTCAATAAACAATATCAATCACTAGCGATTCAAATACAAGTATAAACAAACAATGCCTCCAATATAAAGTTGCTATTTAATCATCTGAATTGAGAGATGAACTGAACTGAAGCTGAGAGCTCGAAGCTGCCTTAATGCGGGAAATCCGATCACTTGAAAATAAAACAGGAATGGCTACAAATCACTATCATTAAAAAGATTAAAAAAATGTATAGACGTTAAATATTAAATAAGTATGACCCCATTTTACGGAGCGAGCGCTACTGCTTTGTATTATTTTGTACTATACATTGTACAGAAGGCGACGCCCTGCACAAAGATAACACAGGCCGCGCTTTGCAATGAAGCGGGTTTATTACGTCGTAAAATGAAAGTCGCTTTTATAACATGTACGAACGTTAAATATTAATTAAGTTTGACCCGATTATGCGCAATTGGTCTACTGATTTGTACTATTTTGCAGTTCATATTACAAAAGTTGATCGATTTCGTGAAACCGTTGTAAAATTTGAAATGATCAATTCCTTCCGCTGTTGTTACTCACACTACAAATCTAAACGATGTATCGCTTATAAATATTCCTAAAATGTTATTACAAATACAAAATATTACAAATGTAAATTTTTGTCCATTGGATACAATCCGTTACCTTTCCACTACAAGGTGGAACAAATTGGATATATTTTTCTATAATTGATAAAATTCGCAGTCGATATTTACAATTCAAACTAATTTTAAAGCGAGGTTGACAGTCCTGAATGGCAACGATTTTATATGACTACATTCTACGTACTATTGTAACTAGCGACACATGCAAGAGCATTCATTATTCAAGTTTATGGAACCTTTATTTTATACCGACACAAGCGAACATATCAGTAATTTTATGATGTCATATTACACAATCTGGTAATTAGAAATTGATGATGTGTGACTGTGTGAATAACACAATCTAACGCGATCGTCGCGGGCATTTAACAACACCGTCGTAGGCGACTTCGAGCCACACCTATTTCGCCTTTGTCCATCGGAAACATGGTTAGCACAGACAATAGCCCAAATAGTTATTGTACCAAAGCAAGTTGTAATCCCTGTTGTCGTGCTCAGTAAAAGCCGATTCTAGATTTTTGAGCACATTCAATAACATAACGGGGATCCAAAGCATTTTAAAAATACTTCTGAAAACAAAGACTACAGTAATCCACCGCATTCAAAAGTGCGTTCATTTTTTATGTGTATTAAAAAGCGATTTCAAAATATTTCCCGGAGCACGATCACCGCAAGCTTCCATCAAACATTAATTAAGATAGCGAGCACCACCGATGCGCAAATGACCGAAAAATACAGCAGCAGTAACTACATTCGAAATCGAGACCAAACTACTTAACGTCGCCTGTCCATTCTTCATTTTGAAGATTGAAATCACCGGCATTTCTAAATGAACCATTCTCCCGAAAATATGTACCTTGGGTCGTATACCATTTCATAAGATTGTGTAAAGAATCTGAAACTGTTTCTATTTCCCTGTGACAAACAAGCGCATTAATGAATTTGAGCTGTTATACTTGGTCACTATCAATGCTCGCCTCCTTGCAATGACAAAATAACTATTCAATCTACATGTCTCACGCCTAAAGGCAATTCAACTGACTCGTTAAGAGTTGGAGAACTTCCCTTCACCCGATAGCAAAAGTATAAAATCTGACGCCTGTACTGTTCAATCGCGTCGATTACTTCTGGAAAGTATCAAATGAAGTAATCAGCACGGGGGCTTACTACTATTCAATAAGCAAAAACCGCCGTTGATATTGTGAATCCGATTACAAATACAGTCAGTACATAATTCAGACATGGAGATTAATTAGTCTTTCGCTGGCATTTGAAACAGATGTACGGACGGAAGTATTGATAATTTCTAATACATATAATTTCCTATTTAATCAGTACTATTGAAAGGTGCTTTATTGCGCGGATAAAGCGAATGATTTTACTACATGATCGTTTTGTCATAACGTTTAATAAGAATCAAAGCTTTTGATGTTATCGTAAGAAGCTGGTGATTGAAGTTCTGTACCAGTCATACTTCCTGTGGTATACTTTTTGTATTTCAATAGCTTGAAACATCAGAAGGATAGAAAGGTTATCGACGTAACTACACCTATGACTCCAACTCAACGCCCCCTAAATTCCTGCAAGTTAATGCATTCAAACACAAATACTTTCTGTTGCTATGCGACGGTATGCAGCTAACCATCGGGGCGATTGATCGGATACACTTTAAAATGCAAGGATCTGTTTTTATGCGGTGATGCGTTACGGTACGGGCGACGAATTACTGTAGTTCTTCCACAGACAAATCTAATGAATATTTCACTACATTTCAATTTCGACGCTATCATCTGAATAAAAAACACGTGGAAGTAGGAAATTGCCCCTGTAGTGTATTATGCGACGCAAATTAGTTCGATGTTTTACAGCGGTAGATAGATGGCCCATGCTAAAACATTAAGGATGGTACTTTAGGTTCCATAATTTAATTTACCTTAATACGGAATATGTAAC